TGCCTCCATCCTCAAGGATCCCACCCAGCCCCAGCACAGACTGTTTGCCTCCCTACCCTCTGGCCAGAGGTTCAGAAGTGTGAGATGCAGGACCTCCAGACTGAAAAACTCTTTCTTTGCCTCTGCCATCAGTCTCTTAAACAGCTGAGGAGTTTATTACCAGGAAATATGGCATGTACTGTCAACTTGTACTGTTTACATTCTCAGTTTGCACATGCATAATTGCACATTGAATGTTTACTGCTGCACATGCTGCTCCCATGCAGCATACATTCTCTTATTATATTCTTATATATTTTTATTATATTGCTGCATTTGCTGCTTGAAGTGCCTTAGATTTTGTGTTACTTATTTATCTACTTTATATTTCATTTGTATTTTGTGGCATTCATGTGGACAGCAAAGTAAGAATTTCATTGTACAGGGAAACATGTTTCCTAATTGTGCATATGACAAATAAACACTGACGTTTGATGGTAATTTCTCTTCCTCAAAACTAATCATGACTGACAAACTATCACAGTTAGTTCTCCATTTATAAGCGTTTTCAGCCTCTTAACTTCAGTGACCTTACTGCCCTTCAGGTTGGTTCCAGTAGGTACTCCTGGAATCATCCCCCTTATGTTTTTATCTTCAGCTGGAATAACACACTGCACTTGCTACCATATATTTTGTGAACCATTACGCCCTTATCCTGTTGCAGTGTATCTCGACAAAATACCAATAACATGATCTCATGATATTCGTAACTTTACTTCTCCAAGGATATGGTGAACACCTTTAGTCATCCCTGTGGATTCCGCTCCCTCATGATTCAGTTGATTAACACCCTGAATTCCACCTTCTTTCTTATTATCTTATCTCCAAGTAGCTCACTGATATTTATGATATTTATGTGTGTGCCTTTTTCCCCTTTTACTACATGCCAGCCTTCAGTACTACCATCAAACTCCATATTCCCAACTTCACTTCCTGAGTCGTCATTTCCCTCAAATCTGGGTTGTCCGTTCTCAGCTCAGTCGCTTGGAAACCGCCCATTCTTTCCTAGCGTCATCCATGAGGCAGTCGATGGAGTCCAGTTCCTGTCAGTTTCTAGTCTGTACAGCGATCTGCCCCATCAGTTCATGCTATAGAAAAGGTTTCTGCTCTGCTTGGTATAACTATTGGGTTTAGATTTCTTAAGGGAAATTATTTTATTTCTTTAAGTTCATTTTGTGTACAGTTCGTAATTTTCTTTCCACCATGGCTCGAGATTTAAAATACACATTTATATGATCAGTATGAATGATTAAAGCAAAAAACAGAATTAACGCAGTCTAAACATTGAAACAAATATAATAGAGAAGTTTAATTTATTAAACATATCGTAACCAAAACAGAGAAAAAATACTTATCTAATGTTTAGTAATACTTATGTAGTTTTACTAAATTTTAATATTTAATATTTAAAAAAAGAAGTGGTAATTTTGTCAAGACAAATGAAATATTGTCACACAAACATTTCACTATATCTCAGGCTACTTTGTACAAAGTCTTATTATCAGCATCATTATTATTATTTTGTTAAATTTTTGCTCTGCTGCTGTAAAACCTAAATTTCCTCTGTGGGGGATCAATAAGGTATTAAAGTTAAATAAAAAAATATATATATATATTAGAAAGTAAAGTATTAGTTTGCTTGTTCAGCCAAAGATCTGCGGTACATATGAGATCCTAACATCCAGCAGCAGGCAAACATCTTTCTAATCCTCTGTGTAGACTTGAAACTGTCAGCAAAGTATCACTGAACAACAATCTGGGAGCTTCCGTTACAGCTAGCAAGTCATTCAGAGCCAGTCACCTTCATCAGGACCACTATACTGTATTCAAACCATCAGTAGAAACCCTGTTGAACTTTAACCGGCTGCTGTTAGACTTGTCAGTATCCTGTCGTCATCCTACTGAACACCCAGTCAGCAAGCCTGTGATTGTGCATATGTGAGTATATACAATACCTGTCCTTTGGCAAAACCACAAAGAAGTCGTGAGCAATCATGGTTGATGCTGAGGGCAGAAACAGCTCCAAACTCCGCTCCTGCTGTCTTAGTACCCAGACAGAGCCGCAGAGCCTGGTTGGTATCTGAGAGGAAAATGAAGAGGACATTTAACTCCTGAGGCAGGAGTACAGACTCAGGAAAAGGTACTGAGGGTTAAAATGAATTATAAGCAAAAAAGAAAAAGAGGGTTTTCCTAGTCCTGGAGTTTAACATTATCAAACAGCATATCCTTACCAAACCACAACATAAACAGCACAATGGTGAAGAACAAAGGAATAAAAACAAACCAAACAACAAAGCATGCACCAAAGTAGCTGAGCCAAACCAAAATGGACATGAGCGGTGATGTCCCCGAGCCAGTCAGGTTGAACAAAAAATGAACACTTAGCATGCTTGATGCAGCTGACAGGGATGTTCATACCTTTTCCTGCCAAGGCATCATTATGTCAGCAGTATAAAGAGACATAGATCAGCCCTACAAGAAAGTCAGCCCCAAACAAATCCCACACACAACCCCAACAAGGTCACAGCATGAACTTCATACTCATTCATTTTACCTGTGGAGCCCTGCAGTGCATTGCATATTTTGACAATTTGCCATGAAATCATCCTACAGACATAAAACATTGTAGTATTTTCTGTTGGTCATACCTGACTCCTTCACATTCATGTTACTGCAGCTCAAAACATAAATGATGCTGAAATAATAACAGAACTACAGAGAAGGACAGAGAAATACATAACTGAGATGAAAAGTTTGGTGAAAACTTTGAGCTGGGGCTAAAAACTCCCTCACTGTTTGGGACAATTTTTGAAATGTAGTTAAATGAGCCATATATTGGCTCATCTATTTAGGAAAAACTTTTAATAGTATGAGCTGTTTTTGGCAGCTTATCCACAAAACAAAACAAAATTATAACTTAAACAGTGGTGTTAGGACACAATTTATCTGAAGTAAATAAATAAAAAGAAATGAAAAAAATAATCTATAAAGGGGAATTTTGGAAGAAATTATGTGGAAGAGCAGATGAACCACTGAAAAGACACAGATCACTCAAAAGTTAGACTCGCTTTAGAGCACTTAAAGCTGTCAAAGTGAAGCAAAAGAAAAAAGTTAACCTAAAGAAAGAAGAAAAAGTAGCAAGGAAATGAGAAAAGGGGTTAGCATATCGTGGCCTTCTTGCACCTGTCTCAAAGGGAGGAACATTTCCAGAATGATGACAAGTTTCTCTAAATTTGTAATGTATAAATTGTTCATCAAGGCTGAAAGCTGATAGAAGAGAAAAAAAGTTGAAGTACAGAGGCTCCAGAACAATCCGCAATACACAGCAATATTGTATCGTTAAGAGACGATTAAAAAGAGGAGGAAAGTTAAAATGAAGCTTAAAATTTTTCCTATAGAAAATAATGTAAATCTACCAAAGAAGCACGTTTTGACATGGCTCCATCAGCTCTCCCACAAATAATAATAAACAACTACAACAACAACAAAAGAGCAAAGATAAAAGTGGGAGAGCTGGTCCATCAGCCCTCCCAGTAATTCTCGTAGGGAAAACTGTAACTGACGATTTGTCAGCCATCTTGTGAATGTTTGTTCTTTTTAGATTTAGGTGGCTAGTGAAGATTTACTGTATAGTGTTACTGATACATAACACTTAATAGATGCCATAACATATGTTGCTAAATTATCACAAGTTTAATTACGTTTTTTTTTTTGGCATTGGCAGAGTCTGTATTATCAATGAGGACAAAGAGTGTATGTAAACTAAACAGAATGTGAATGATAAGGATAAGGGACTTGTCTGGTCATGAACCTTCACAAATCTGGATATTTCACCAACTTAGGACTGGATCAAATTGGTTATCAGAATCCATCCCTAATATTTACCTTAAGTACTGACTGCAGGTGGAAATGCATATAAAGACACATTGTATGAACAGACAGGAGAGGAACCTTTTGTTGCATACGGGAGACTTCAGCTGGATTTTCCAGAGTGGTAGGATTGTGTACATTTATTTCAAACACTGCAAGCAACATTAGCACAGCTTTTTTCATTTAGCTCTCGATGATCTCAGAACAGCTCTGTGCAGGGGGCGGGCTTGTCCTTGCACATCTGATTTTCAGCCCGAGTGTGATGTCACATTAGGCACAGTTTCAAAAGTGCTCTCTCTCCAGGCAGGAGATTCAAAATCTTTAGTGTTGTAAAGACACAGTGGAGATAGACCTTATTAATTGGACAGAAAAGGAGGACCTCCCACATCACCCTGATCCATCTCAAACCTCATTTTTTGTTTTCCATCATACCATCTTTAATATTTTTCCCCTTATTAAACTAAAACAAGCACACAAATTGAACTAGAGAAATGCATTTCCTGTCAAATGTGTGTGGATGCTGATAAGCTGAAAGATTGTCCTGAAAATGCCTGAAATCAATTGCTGAAACAGCTGAAAGATGAGAAGAAATGGCTGAAGTTCTTTGTTGAAATAGTTGAGAAGAAATGGCTGAAGTTCTTTGTTGAAATAGTTGAGAAGAAATGGCTGAAGTTCTTTGTTGAACAATCTGAAGCATAGAGCATGAGATGCAATAAAGTAGGAATGGCCTTGAACAGCTGAACATTTTGATACCTGAATGGCTTAGCTAGCTGAAAGTATGCTGAACTTATTAAGATGTGAAAATAGTCCAATAGGACCCCACAAAGAAGGTAAAACAAGTAGGTGTGAATGTGAATGGGGGCTGAGAGAGGCAGACAGGGAGAAAGTGGAGTTACGTAGTGGCATGTCTCAATTGCGCTGCATTTTATGGACCACCAGATGGCACTCCAAGACTGTCATTGAATCAGCACTTTGAGCTTCCACGGACATGTACTTCAAACAATAAAGTTGAATCAATTAAAAAGTATAAACGGTATAAAAAAGAAAGATAGAAGCAGGGATGTCCTTGAATAGTTGAACAGATAAATACCTCAATGGCCTGTATAGCTGGAGGTATGCTGGACTTATAAAGTGCCAAAAAAGGGTGGAAGATCTGTTAGGTATTTTTAGTCAGATAGATATTGGTTACATACTTGATGTATTAGAAATGTTTAGAGTAGACAGGATGTCTAGCTCAGGCTGTTAAATGTTTAGTCATTCTCATGAGTTGCTGCAGGTTGCTTATGGTCAAGGATAACTAGATAGAAAGTTGATGACTGTTAGAAGACAGGATGTTTAATATTATTATTATGACGTGTGTAACTGTAGTCATAGCCATAATATTTTCTTATGTTGTCATGACATGTCACTAGAGGTCGTGTTAGAATGTTTTTAGCTACACACCACATAATCAACAAACAATCACACATTGATTTTCTTCATGTTTTGACTACTG